TTGCATTTTCTTGGAAAATTTTATTTTGTTTCTCATACAATTGACACTAGTTGTATGAGGCATCTTTTTTGTCTCACAATTTTGTGGACCCAGAAGTGTAAGATAGGGGTCCACAAATTTGTGAGACAAAAAGGAGCCTCACATAACTAATATAAGTTGTGTGAGACACAAAATAAAACTTCTCCATTTTCTTGCAATCAATTTGCAGATATATCAATTTTCGGCTACCTATTTTCCATTTTGTTTTGAATTTTGACTTCAAGAATAATATTTTAACATTTATTTACTTTAGTCTATGTTTTGGAAAAGGCTTTAAACAATATTATTTGATAATTGTAAAAATCATCCCTGATACAATAACTAAATTATAATACAAATTTACGTTAACCATATAAATATATACATAATAGTGTAACAACACATTTTCGCGTCGAGAAAAATAAATAATCAAGACTGAAAAATTGCATAACAAATGTAGTATTTGATTTCAATAAGTAATGGGTGTTACAATCTCTATGGTATTCCTCTGATTCTTCATGAATATAAACTATCCTGATGAGCTTGATTTTGATTTTGATTCAAGGGCCAGTAAAGCTTGGTCTTGAATCTCCTTCTTGAACTTGAATTTGGGTTTGATCACTGACAAGTAATTTGATCTCGAACGCCTTGGTATTTGATTTGCCTTTGTTCTTGATCTTGATCTTAAACTTGAACTTGTACTTGAGTGCTTGAACTTGTAGGTTGTAGAGAAACCTGCAGCCTTTGATCTACGAGCTCTCTGCTTGCTTCTTGTTCTTAATCCTGGTCTCTTCTAACTTTATGAAGACCTCTATTTATAGTTGTGGGGAGTGTTGTGGCTCCGCGATTTGATTGGTCCATTTGAACTGACCAATATCATCCAGACACTTAACAAAACCTATTGGTTGTTGATTTTACTTGGTAAGCCACCCTCTCTTGACACATGACATGATTTTATTGGCTCATTTATTTATCTTGGATCGCCATATCATTTGACACGTGCCTTGATTTTATTGGCTCGTTCTTTTGACTTGGATTGCCACATTACTTGACACGTGGCATGAGCCTGGCTTTAAGATGGGCTAATAACCATTTGAACCTTGGGCCAATGAAGTTGACTTATCATTTAATTTGTAGTCCAAAATGGACTAACCCAACACATATATATTGAATTGGCCCAATTTATTAGCCACAATATTTGTTTGGACTAATGTCTTGAATTTATTAGGAATTTTTACCCCCTATAGCAAATGTTGGGGCATTTTCATCTATACTCCCTTTTTGTGCCACATTTTAACCTGTGCCCGCTTTGCAAAAAAAATTGCAAGCGTACCCGCTTTTTCACATAACTTCAGCACACGGGGCTGAAGTAGCAAAGGCAATTACACAAAACTTCAGTATTTTAGTAGCCGGGCCTGAAGTTCAGCTCTAGAGCTGAAGTTTTCCAGTTAAAAAATGAAAACTTCAGCTCTAGAGCTGAAGTTTTTGTTTAGTAACCCGAAAACTTCAGCTCTAGAGCTGAAGTTTTCAAGTTATAAAATAAAAACTTCAGCTCTAGAGCTGAGGTTTTCGTTTCTTAGTTCTATTCAAAGTATTTTCTTTTACATGTTTGCTATGTGTTATTAATGGCTGTGGAATCAGTTATCTATCTAGGTTTAGTAACTAAAATTGCTCTTATTTGGATTGTTGTTCGAATTTTTGTTAACTGTTAATCAATTCTTGTTCAATGTTTGATGTTTGATTGATGTTGCTTTAAAATAATAGAAGTCTGTGTTGATAGGTTTGATTCTCATTTTTGGTTAGTTAATTGTTTCCCTTTGATTTAGTTGTCAAGAATAGTTCATTAATAGGTTTAATTATTTTTTAATTGTTTAAGCTGATTCAATCGGATTTCATACTGAATTTCTGATGGTCAAATTGATTAGTTGGTTTGATTGTTGATGGTAATTTGGTGTGATTAAAATTGCTGAGTAGCTGGTCAACCATGGTTAGTCAATAAGGTTGGGGTTGAATTTATTCCAGGCTAGTGAGAAGGGTAATTTAGGGAAATCCATTTAGTAACTGAACTTAGAAGCTACTAGAAGCACCTAGAAAGGGTTGAAATTGAATTTCAGTAACTTTTAGTGTATTAACTTGTGACACAAGTCAGAAAACAAAGGACTAAATGAGTAAATAAACAGGGACTAAGAGTGTAAACAGAAAATTTGAGGGTTGCCCCTCATTTGGCCTATAAAAGGCAGTGTATAGTGCCTTGAAGAGGAAGTTTTCAGCTCCAAAAATTCCCCCCAAAAGGTGTTCTACAACCCCCAGATCTGACTTTGAATTTCAAAATTCAAAAAAGCCAAATCTGCAATTCTATAGTTTCTTGTAGTCTCAATTATTCAAAAATCCAAAAACAAACAAAAATACAAGGAAAAAAAAGCACTGTTACATTGATTTTTAGGTTAATTTTGATTTCTAGGCATTGATTCTCTTCTCTTCTAGTTGCTGAAGCTTTTCTGAAGTGTACTCGGGTTTAGTTGGGTCTGTTTTGGGTTAAAATTGATGCTGTAAAATCTCCAGTCCATTCCTGGGTATTTTTGAAGTTGTGTTGGTTCTAAATTGTCACTGCTGCTGTTGCTTAACTTCGCTATTTGAATTCTGGTTGCTGCTCCTGCTATCTATTGCTACTGATCATTCTCCTTTCTTCTCAAGTTATAAAATAAAAACTTCAGCTCTAGAGCTAAAGTTTGCCAGTTATAAAATAAAAACTTCAGCTCTAGAGCTGAAGTTTTTGTTTAGTAACCCGAAAATTTTAGCTCTAGAGCTGAAGTTTGCTAGTTATAAAGGGAAGCTGAAGTTTTTTAAAAAGTGGGTACGGATTCAAACAAAAAGACAAAGCGGCTACAGGTTAAAAAGGGGCGCCCAAATAGGGCGCCCCGTGCAATTTTTACCCAAATGTTGATACCTTATTTATTTTAAATAAATACTCTTTTAAAAAATTATATTCCATAGCTACCTTTTGATTTTTATAGCCAAATATCTATTTATGGTTACCTCCTACCCTTAAGCCATAAAATACTCTTTGTATTATTTTTCTCTCTCATTCTTTTAGATTTTTATCCATCCTCTCTCTCTCTCATTAGGGTTCACCAGAGTTTATTATATGAGTGCCCGTATTTTGCAATCTCAATTCACCTACAAATTTAATTGTTTCCCCTGGCACTAAATTCCTCCATCTCTATTTTTATCCGATCGTCTACTCTGGATTCAATAAATCTGAATCTATTTTCTCAATCACTGCTAATCATTATGCCCTCTTGAGTAACTTCAGCGCTTTCCTCACTGTCTCTGCTAGTGACAATGATGAGTCTAGTGAAGCAATTCGAAAAGAATATGTCATCAATGTTGTTGAAAGTCAAATACTCAATATAACTTTTTCTCCTTCACCAAACTCTTATGCTTTTGTTAATGGGATTGAGATTGTTTCCATGCCAACTGAACTTTGCGCCAAATTTTGAGAGTTTCGAGTTAGAATCGCGGCCCTCTTGACGAGACGACATTAGGGTTGTTCTTGAACAAAGACGACAGAGTTTGGGGCTGAGCAACTTGATTTTCTATTAATATATTTCAATGTATTTTCATGTATTTCATTGTATTCATTGTCTTTTTTATCATTGTAATTCAATGTATCTCGTTCTATTCCATGTATTTCATTGTATTCACTGTCTTTTTTCCATTGTATTTCAATGTATCCCGCTGTATTCTATGTATTTCATTGTATTCACTGTCTCGCTATATGCCATGAATGTATTCATATGTTTTTTTTAATTAATATAATTTATGTATTCAGATGTATTATATAATTTCTTTGAAGATTGCTATATTTTTGGGATATTTTTCGGTTGAGAATCTTTTTTATAATTGAAAATACAAAATTTATGTGTTATAATTGAGTTTGTTGAGTTATATTAGGAGTCTATTATGTTAATTGATTCACTTTCCGTTTTAAAAACAGTGTAATCCCCTATTTCACGCCGTGAATACAGTTGAATACAATAATTTGTCCAGCTGTAATCCCATGTTTCACTCCATGAATACAGTCGAATACACTCAATACAACAACTGATTAGCTGGACTTCCCTGATTCACGCCTATTTTTGCTACTGTATTCGTTACAATAGCTTAAATACATCAAATACATCTTATAACCACAGAAAAGGTATCTATAATCCGTAATATAGCAAATGGTATCTATAGATGGCTAATTACTACTAAAAGGTAGTGCTTTATGAAAATTTCTTAATTTATTATAATCCAAATTATTTTATGGATTTAAATCCAATAAAATTTAATTGCTTACAAATGCCCCATACTTAAAGTCTTGTCGTAGTATAAACGTGTTGAACACCTACGATTAGACTTGACGTAATGTTGTACTAATTTTTTTGGGAATACTTAACCCGCTCATCTGATAATTATTCAGATTACCAAATTGCAATTGAATAATATTTAGAAATGTTGCAGTATACAAAGAGGTTATTTCCTTGACCCAAATCTGACTTGAGGAGGTTTGGGCATGCATTGAGTACATCAAGCAGGGAGAGGACATATAGGTCAAGGTTTCATTGACCTTTGTTGTCCTTGAAATGTGACTTTGAAAGGAGCTGAAAATTATTTTATGTAAAAAAGTAAAAATAAATTCTCGTTCATTCCCTTGGTTTAGCTTCTAATAAGATGGAACTTGGAGGTGAATGGTTACCATATCGTATACTGGTTCCATAGTACCAACATATACAATTGCATATTTCAGTTTGTACACCATTAGAAATTCCTCCTGGTATTACCATTGCATCACATAAGTCACAATAAGTCGCTACATCTCTTTAAAGAAACTTGCCGAGTGAAGTCTAATTAATTTGAAGCATCACAATGACGTATACGCTCCAACCTTTCCTATTTCCCAAAACCAACTTGGAAACACATTGCCTAGCACAGTAATGTACTTTTAAAACTCAAAAATTGAAATTGTGACTTGCACCGGAAAATAGATGAAGACATTTGCATAATACTCTATAAGCTACAACCTACAAAGTTCTGCAAATTTATAAAAGAGACGGTGATGCTGAAAAGGTCATCAACCAAGATTATCTAAGGTTAATCTGCCAGATTAATCTAAAAAATTGGTTCCCTCAAACAAATACACCTATTATTCCAAGTGTGCAGTAGAATCGCAATCCAATGCTCTATTCCGTGCTTGGGCGCATGATGACAAAGATATGGCTACAATGCACTTGGAAGTGCACCCACCCCTTCAGACTCTTTGTAAGATAAAGCCCTCCTAAAGAAAAGAATTATCACATTTGACAATGTGAAAATTGCTTCAAATTTGTGCAAGTCCGAGCCTTCTCCTGAGGACAGCACACTAACCCTCCATATTGTCTAGCAAAAACATATGCAGTTTCACATATAACCTAGCTGCCATTAAGCATATTACATCCGGAATCTGATTCCACACTTTGTGCATTAGGCTAAGTTGTAGGAACCTGCTAGTTGCTCTAGATCCGTTGTAGAAGGGAATAGGTTGGCATTATCTCGATGCAATTCAGATGACTCCCCACTATATAATCTGTCATTATAAAGTTTAATGCAGGTCAATTGCTATAATTACTAAGAAATCATATAGAGATGGGGCGAAGTTATTTAAGGAAAAAATTCAAAGAGTTATTCATGTGAATAGTCAAAATAAAATTAGTGAATAAATAAGAGAGTCAAGTTCTGGGTTGACCAGAATGCAGGAGGAGCCTTGGAGGGATTAAACTATAAGCATGTCTAAGTACCAAAATAGCAATAATAACGTTATACTGCCGTTCTTGACAAACAGAGCTAAATTTAAGAACTCTCAAGACCTAGTTCACATTCAAATAAGCATCCAGAGATTTAACTTTTTAAGTTCTGGATCATGAGAGCGACAATTACAGATTTCTCAGTTTTATCATCCAGTTCTTACGAAAAAAATTGCACTAAGAACTTTCAAAATCTGGGTTTAAGACAATTAGTGATTAGATGTATGCACATAATACACCAAGAAACATAAATATTAAAAGGGCGGCCCGGTGCACTAAGCTCCCACTATGTGCGGGGTTCGGTGAAGGGACGGACAACAAGGGTCTATTGTACGCATGGTATTACCTTACTTTATTAAAAAATACACAAAGAAACATAAATGAACAGTACAACTTCGCGGATTACCTTTTATATAGAAAAAATATGAAAAGGATGAATCACATCTTTCCCCTTGCCAAGAGCTCCAATGAGGGAAAAACCTTAGACTCTGCATTTGAGATCTGTAGACAGGACTTGTATTTGCAAGAAGACGATCACTTGTTTCCTCTCATTTTTTGATGCATCATTGCAACAACAGTGCTTCTTTCTCGACCATTGTTATATGATCATAGATTTTGGTATCCTTATCATGAGCTTCCTTCACCGAATGAGAATCTTTTTTATTTGTGGGGTATCCATCTATATAATCATTTATTTTTCACAAGTGAGTGGTATAATCTTCCTATCAATTTATAATTGCTCTAATCATTTCTCATATCAGGTTTTTTTATAAATAAAGAAAGGAAATAGAAAAGATAACACTTAACATAGACAAATAGGAGAAACATAAAGAATTCACTTTGACACTTAATTGAACGGAAAATTAATTCAACCCTAGATGGACAACAGATAGATGTATTTGATCAAGGGAAACATGTGGAAAGACACACTACCTCGAGCACGTAGATACAAGATGTCGCACATGATTAGGAGAAGGCTGCTAGCTTCTCCTCTCCTTTTTCTTTCCCTATTTTTGTTTGGCTAAAAGCTGTTATCACTGTGGCAGTGGAGCCGTAAAGGAACTACTATCCGCATTGCTACTTTACAGAGTACTACTGTGCTTTTCAAAAGAGTGGTATAAAGCAGTAGATTATGAGAGATATTGCCTAACATGACCAATAACTCAGTAAAAGGAAAAAAAGGAAGAGCTCAGTATTGGCAAGTACGGACATACATGGCCGTAATGGTTAACTAATCTTTAGTTGTGTCTTCAATGATTCTAGTTGTTCCAATTTTGTTTGTAACAGTAGAGCGGAAGTTACTTGGGAGTTACTTTACTAAAGCAAGTATGGGATAAAACATCCTCTCCTCCCTATATCATATTCACAGTCCTCTAGCCTTCACAGAATTTCAAAGTAAAATGAAAAAAAAAAATATCGAGGGTGATTAATGCATGCAACTATTTTGGTGGCATTAAAATTCTCGAAGGCCTTAACATACCCATTATCTACTTAAATTCAGGAAACTTAAGACTACAAAAGGTGACTCCAACCGACTTAGACCATGTAGCTTCTCCACATCAAAATTTTCGATTAGCGGTCTAAAAGCTCCAAGACTGTCCCT